TTCAATTTCAGTGTTGATTACTATTAAAGAAGAAGAATTCAAAGAAGATCCACAGCAGTACCTTCGCCACCATCGCGTACACTCCCACAGCGATGAGCAGTAATTAAGTTTCAGCCAACCAGCAACCTCGCTACCGCCTGATTACCTCTACGGCCTCATCAGCGTCTAGGCACAGCACACTGCAACTACGGTCCACGTAAGAAGAGCATATCTCTCCCATCTACGCAGCAGCCAGCCACTATGGAGCAACCGTCCCGACTCACTGAGGACTTCAACTTAGCACCGCGCACCGCACGCCATCCCGATTCACTGGAATCAGCCGACTTCAGCCCCCGGCCCCCTTTGGTAGCGGCACTCGGTTCCGACTCACTAGAACCAGCGGCACTCAGTTCCGACTGACTGGAACTACTCACTACTAGCACTGGCACGCTCCATAACAGGACATAGACAGACTCATCAAGATATCAACCTCTGATCTTGGAGGGGAGTGATGTGGCGACTTCAACATTTAGTGGATCAAAGAAGCATACTACAACGCCATCTATTGAAGACACACGGAGCTACGGAGTAACTCCTAATCCTGTATCACGATATTAACAATTCTCTCGCCGATTGGCATATATACAACTCAACCGTTGGGCCGAGGCCTGCCAAACATAATCACCGCGCCTGGTCTGAGAATCCTCCCTTTGTGTGGAGGGACACCAGTTACTCCACAGATGTAAGGCCGGTTTAAAACCAATTAAACCAATCCGTTTAAAACGAAAAAAAAAGACGTTTTAAACCTCGCACGAAGTTTATTTAGGGCGACGATTATTTGGTACAATTGCACTTGGCATACTATGAAGGGACACGTAATCGTACGTCTACTAGCGTAAGTTACTACCCTGGTCGTATGACCAAATTACAGTATTGTAATTTAATCCCGCGAAGGTGCAGAGAGAGAGAGAGGCAAACGGAAAGCGAGCTGAACAGCAGGTGTTTATAACGCTCGCCGCAGCTTCTGAAGCTGCGGAAGCGTAGCGTATACTGCGAAACTACCAAACGTACTATAATGAATACGTCTCTTAAAACAGGAAAACTTTAGGTTTAGCTAAGGGTGGTGTTTCTAGTTTTACATGTCTAGATAATACATTTAATAATTAACTAGATAATACAGACTTAGACGAAAGTATAATGTTGGTTTGTTACATGCATGTATGCAGCACAACATTATAAATAAAACAGTTACTTATACGTTTTCTTCAACTCTAAGGTTTATCACGATAGTCAAAAGAACCAGTGGCAAAATCGTGCGATTAGCTTGCTTCCTCTGTGAGATTGATCACTGATCACGAGTAGTGTCTGTTCGAGCCTCAATGCTGACTTTGTGGTCTTTTTATTTTTATGACAGGATATATTTTTTGAATTCTCTTACATTAAAAAGACTGTAGTTTACAGTTGAAAAAAGATATAATATGTAATTTAATAAAAAAATAATAAAAAAATAATAATAAAAAAATATTTTTTATAAGATAATTTTTCATAAAAACACCACTCATAACAATAACACAAACCCAAACTAAGTTCACCATCCAACAACGTCATACCATTTTATTGTTTCAAATCTACCGTCAACTTTAAGTGACTATTAGTTTAAAATAATTAATCGACTATTTATATTCTTCGACGTGCGTTTTAATACTGCAGTCATTATAACCATATTCCATAAATTCTCGCGAGGCTGCATGAGGTTTAAAATTGTGGTATTTGTATCCACTGCCAGACGAACAGTTATAAAAACAGAAATCGTAATAAGAAGACACTAGAAATGAATTAGCGCCCGATTCAATTCAAAACCGATGTCGCCACATCTTAACACATACACAAAATACAAACAAATAGATATAAGTCTCGCACAGACTTGCAAAACAACGTTGAAATGTTTAGGGCACTAATATGGCCACCAGGGACTTCCTTTCTAGGGTATACCTGGTTCCCCGGCTATTAGTACCCGAGACGGCGTGCGGTTTTAGTCAGTTCGAGTCCGACATGCCACCGACAGGTGGTATCCGAGGGGATTTCCGCACGGAAAAAAAAGAGCACTATTTTGGCCCTTAATTTCCAGGAATTACATTGCATTTTACTCCTATGTATTATGTGGCACCTCCTCAATCTCTTTCGATTTATGAGAATGATATAATCTTTATCACTCATCAAAACAATTTAAAAAATACTTAATATTAATTTCTAGTTAGCCAAGCACAAAGCAAGATAGTTTGGAAGGATAGATGTTAAGAATACAGATTGAAAAATTGGCAAACGCGTGAGTATGGCGCAGCGCAAACGGCCACGCATTCACCACCGATACCGGTCTCGGACTGAAGATGGTCAAAATGGATGGGGCTAGCACACGCGGCATTGGGCCGTGTACCTGAGGACTCCGTGGCCACTGCACGAAGTGATAACACGTTTCGCTTGCGTCGACGTCGACTATGTTGTGCACTAGACTCCACTAGTTGTTTTATTAATTCGGATCCATAAAAATGTAAAATTTACGTGAACGATGACTGATGTCGTAAATAGAATAATTTTAACAAGGAACAAAGTAATGTTAGTCTTTTAAAATAAAGAACCAACCTGCATGGTTCTATATGAAGTTTAAAATAAATACAAGACACCGTGTGGGATGGTTCGTATTAAAAAAAGAAAAATTCTTTAACTTTTCAGATGGTCCACTTACCAGAGCACATAGATCTTGTTAGTTTATTGAACTATTGGTTTAATGTGGGTTAGTAAACTTGTCATTAAATCTCTTTGTTCTTTCAAAGTTTGAACTACATTTTGAAAGGTTTCTGCATACTTAACTCGACTTTGGCATGTATGTGGATTGGTTCCTTTTTGCATAATTAGGTCCAATTAGGGTTGTAGATGTGATGTGAATGATTACAACGATTATGCGTCGTATGTTTTTATTATTTTTTACGGGTCTAGTTCAATATTTACAAGATTTTTTATTTCTTAGAGGACAGTTGATAAACAAAAGTGTTTGAAGAACACTCGGAACTTAAGTCATGTTTTAGTAGGTACGTGTGTACTGTGCCTTGTGAGGTATGATTCTACTGTATTTTTTGTTTTATTTCGTAGAATTTTAATTTTATATTCCTCTTAGGCTGCATTGACTAAAGGTTTATTATTAATACCTCCATCAATAAATACTGCTGGAGGTATTACTACTTACTTTTTTCGGTTTAGTTGGTTTTTCAACGTTGTCTGTAATTTTTATTATAGCACCTAATAGTTATTTGTAACTGTTGAACGTGGATATTGTCACATGATAATGAACTCCTTGAAAGGTTACAACCTACTAATAGTTAGTGTTATTGTTTTGTTAAAAATCTGGGTTAGATCTCGGCCTTTTTGTGTTCATTGTATAGGCATGGGTGGCAAGTGTATACAATTAAAGAGTTTCGCTAAACATTGCTGATATTAAATTTTTATTAAATCTCTCAGTCAGAATAAAAGAAACACTATGTTGCCACAAACAAATTAAACTAAAGTCTTTGAATGGCAATAGTAACCAATTTAAAAACTTTCTATATCGTTGTTTTATCCTTACAAATTCTCTTTGGTTCCACCATAGCTTTACATAAAATCTTTTGACAGTTTGACCTCCGGATACATGACTGAGGTAAAAAATTGTAGTGCCTTCTATAGACTGTGTACAAATTTTCGTTCCCTTTCGTTCGGTAGAATAGAAGGTTAATGGTAGCTTTACACTGTGTACATAAACATTTTTTTTATCGTGTTACATAAGTATGAATAAGGCTTAGAAATAATAAAACTAATTAAAAAGGTTTACATTTAAAATTGACGCATAAACTGCATTACTTACAATCGAGACCGTTTGTTTTTATATTTGGTTTGTTCAGTTTATAATTTTTTCATATTGCAGTAAAAGTACTCCTTTTTTTTTTCGCAATGCGCAAATAATTGGCTTGGAAATGCCACGACGTTTTTTTTTTGTTTACAATAATAATTATTGAATATTTTTAAGAATTAGCACGCGGGCAAATTAAATTAGCGCAAGGGCAATTTTTTCACGCTTGGTAGAGTAAAAAATAATCATTTTTCAAAGAGATATGGCTATTTTAAGTAGAGGAAAATTGAAAATTATATTTCTATTTTTCCTGGGAAAACGAAAAACGGGCTTATAAATTAATTAACGTAGGTCGAAAGGGCTACTTGAGATCTATAAAATGAGATTTTTTTTTATTTTGAAATTGTAATATCTGCAGGCTGGAACGTGCCCTGTTAATAGCCGGGGAACCAGGTATACCCTAGAAAGAGTAAAAGTATTCCTAATGTTGGTGGAAATGAAAATTAAAAATAATTTTCATAACAAAAAAGAGTAATACATTTTTTGATATTATAACATGGCCGCATTAACACAATAACATTTTTTTTTTGTAGACAAATACAAAGACATAATTGTATCTTAAATTGCTTAAAATATTTTTAATAAAATTATTCGATAGAACGCTTTCAACGGAAGTAAGAAAGTAATCAGACGGAAAGACGATAAACTAAACCATAGACTATAGCTAGCTAATTTGACTATAATAAACTACACGTTTTTAAGCTCTGAGGTTATGTTATTGTGCCGTGTTCATAGAAGAGATCGAAAAGTAATTTTTAAATAAGTGTTTTAGTTGATATTTTATGTAAAAATGAGTGACTTTGTACTAAACGATTCAGACACTGAAGTTGATTCCGATGAGGAGGAAGTAAGTAAAATATTTGAAGAAAGCTGTAAGTGCAGATGTAAATTAAGAGCGTTTAACGCTTTTCTTTATTATTTTTGTTTTTATTGAATTCAGAACCATGTTTCACTAAAATCTGCGTTTTATGTAAAAAATTGCGCTATAATTGTATCTCTTGCATGTGTTCAAATTCACAGAAAGTCTTTAATTTCTAATAATTTTGTTCAACAGTTGCAAGAAGCTTTTGCTAAAGGTTTAATAAAACCAGGGCTCAATGAGGAAATAGAGAGAGTTGAGAGGAAGTGCGCAAATAATGTAGCTGATTTAAAAATAAAATTAAAAGAGTTCCAGTTAAAATTACCATGGGTGGAAACTTTGGACTTGGTGACTGTCGTAGCACCGATGGCTCCGGACGTTGCTTTTCAATTACAAGAAACTGCACAAAGAAGAAAGTATGTAAATTTTTCTAATATTTTTTATTTATGTTATAAAGCCATGCCCAAAATGTTAGTTTTCAATAAAATGGATACCTAAATTGAATAAAATCATTTGTTGGTCAATTTTTAACCATTACTCATTAATTTTACTTTATTACTTTGATCTTGAACCTTTAACTGTTACTGTATAGAATTTTCATACAGGTTTAGATACACTGAATATTTGGAGCCATCCTCATTATGATAAATATGAAAACAAATCATCATCATCAACAGCCTTAAATGGTTCACTGCTGGACATATGCATCTATTTAGAAAGGTCGTTTTGAGCTACTATATCATGATGGCCAGATGGGTTGGTACAGGGTTTGTTTGAAGTTTTTCTTGTCTTTGCAGTGCTGTTGTCTGACATAGTTTTCTATCTAACCCAGCTCTTACAACACCCACAGGATGACTAGAGGCAGGCACACATAAAAACAAATAATTGATATTGATTTAAATAATTAATAATAAATTACCTTTTCAGAAATTTAAAAGAAAATACCAAAGGTAAACAAATGTATGACCCAACTCAGGATCCAGTTCTTAATGAGTTCAAGCGGGAAAATCTTATTCATCGGCAGGCACAAGCAGCAGTGCTGGAAGGCCTTAAAAAGTTAAAGGAGCTTAATATACCTACAAGAAGGTAGTTTATCAAGCAAATCAAAAATCAAATAATATCTAATCACTTAAAACACTAATTTATACTATTTCTGATACTATCTCTACTAATACATACTAATTTTGATGTAAAGAGCATATACTGTAGAAAGAGAAAGAAGACTATAAGACTTAGCAGCAGCTTTAAGAATTTATAGTCTACTTCACACAGCATGTGATATTGAGATTAACTAAATATACCTGCTGGCATGCATTTGATATACCATTGATTTTGTAGTACATATTGCACATGCATGCCACATTCCAAAAATAATGTTGAATATTTCAAAATGTCACACCACTAGTGTGCACTTCAATGTGCATAACAGCTGAAGTGTTAGCTCACAGCTTCAGTGCACTTTAGTTAGTGTCAGATTTTTAGCATCTATTAATTATCTGTGTATGTAACACTTACTCTGATTATAAAGTCAGTATGACCACACAATGTGGAACCTAAGTTTTATTTCTTTCAAGCAGAGCTGTTAATTGATTTTCTAGTCTAAGTAATTAACATGATCTAATATCAATCTTGAATAAGTTATTTTTATAATTAAATCACAATAAATATTAATTTATAGACTTATTTTATCTGTCGAGTTGAACTTACTAATGCCATATTGTTATATTTTCAGGCCTGAAGATTACTTTGCAGAAATGGCAAAGACAGATGAGCACATGCAGAAGGTACGCAAGAACTTGATGGCGAAGCAAGCAGCACAGGCTCGCACAGAGAAAGTACGACAGCTCAGGGATCAGAAGAAGATTGCTAAACGTGTACAGGTATATATTTACTTTTCATTGTTGTATATTTTCATGTGCAATTTACAGTCAGTTAATGTTATTGAATATAGGGCATAACAATTTTCTATTTAATTAATTGGATTGTTTTCTGTATAATAAACAAACTAAAGGAAACAAGTAAAAAGCGTTAGTAAGTAGCATTAAAAACTATAATACCAAATGTCATAAACTATAATACCACTTATCTTTATATTCATCAACAGTTAACAAATTATACTAAATCCACCCATTTAATGAAATTACAAGATATACACAACTTCAAATAACGGGTCATTTTAATTTTTCAGATTGACACAAAACTGAAACAAGCCGCAGATAAGAAAGAAATGTTAGAACAATTAAAACGAGTAAGAAAAGGTAAATCATCAGATCTGAGCTTTTTAGATGAAAACAAGGGTAACAAAAGTAACTCTAACCTAAAAGGTAAAGGAAAAGAAAACAGAGTTAACAGAAAACGGGTCATGAAAGATAAGAAATTTGGGTTTGGTGGCAAAAAGAAAGGGTCCAAATTAAACACTAGAGATTCTTCAAATAACATGGATGGATTTAATGGAGTGTCTGAGAAAAGGCCAACTAATTTCAAGAATAAATCATTCCAAGTGAAGAGTAAGAAAAACCAGAGGCCTGGGAAATCTAAGAGGAAAAACGCAAAAAGATAATGTTTAGGTCGAGTTGCCTTGTAATAATAAGTTACTATGTGTAAAATTATAATATTAAAACCTAGTAGTGTCGTTTCTTTTACTGATTCCATTTCTTAGGGGTTAGTAGGCCTAGAAACCATTATAGCTATGCCATGTATTGTCGGCTGTCCGTCCGTCCTCGGCTTAGCTCAGAGCTTCGAAACTAAAATGGAACCACCACCACACTAATTAAAGTTAAAATATGAAAGAAATGAAAGGCAATATAAAATATTACCTAAGGAGATAGTAATCCGCAGCCTTATAATTGCGTATTTACCTACCCTCTATAGTGATTTCTGTACTCCTAATAATTGTAAATCCAATGTGACTACAGTCGGATTAAACCTCACCCAGTTTAAAAAATCATGTCCCATAAAAACACCTTTGATTTAGAACCACTCAAACAAACGTCTTTCTGATGATTATCAAGATGCTATGTAAATGTCGGGTAAAATAAAGGAAGTAAAAATTATATGAGTTGGTACCTAAAAACTGATATTTTCACTTTAATACTCATCAACTGTTAACAACACTACATCCACCCATTTCTTTAAAACTTGATTATGAATACACAACTTCTTAGTAATAATCGGGTGGCAAGTTTTTTATTGGTTAATGGTTAATTATTTATATTTGACTCTAAAACAATACCATTGTCTTCTATCAATGGGATCTCGAGTCGTACATGTGGGTACTTGAATAGAGAACACGCGTGCGAGGGCAATGACCTTTTACGCTCCGGTTTGCAAGACAGCCGATTGAATGGTGTTTAAAAGTTCGACTACACTGCTTTTTAAGTACCATTGTTTTGTACTTATTCGTATTTTACGAAAAATGATGTTTACTCAAATAACCATTTAAAAAAAAAGGTAGGTGAATTATCCGTCAGATGATTTTAACGATGTTTAAGGTAGAATAGGGTATTGAACCCATTGTTTAAGGTGTCTCAATTGATTCTATAGTGCTAATAAACCATTAAAAACACAAATTTTATTCAAGCGATGAGTTTCATAAAAATGCATTTAAATTTTACATTTTCAAAATTTGACGAAAACGCTGAATATGGAGTACATATTGCCATGTGCTATGACGTCAGTTGGCTGTGTAAACAAGTGCGATCAGGCCACCACCGCCCTTGATATCCTGTATGGAGTGATAATATTGTAGGTTACATAGTACCGAAAGGTATAAATAAAAACATTAATAATTATGAAACATATATATTAATGTTAGTGAGGTCTACCACTTGCGACCCTTGCCCTTCTTCTTTTGCTGTTGCTTTCGTTGCCAGGCCGCTTCCGTCTGCTTCTCTACGCGCGGACTCTTGGCCGCGGTGGCCGCAGCGCTTGCACTGCTCGGCGGCTGCTTGCTCATGTCACTGTGGAAATATAACCATTATAATTTGTCAACTACTGCAACGACAAGATGTAATTCCATAAAAAATATGAACTTAAAAAAATACAAATAATTCATTAGATACTGACTATTGGTCAGTGGCTGTAGTGGACATGCCCTGGCTTCCCTTGATGACGTCACGCTTCACGCCGCGCCGTTTTCTATACGCCGTTCGTTCGTACTTGGGTAACCATCTGGAAAGTGACATTTTAAATTATTGGTAATTTCGAGTTGACAAGGTTCGAGGTTAATTAGGACAATTATTTTTAAACAAACAAAAACCTTACCTTTCTGGATCCGGAGGTTTGGATAGGTCCGCATTGGGCGGCAGCTTTGTTTTGCGTTTGCGTTTTTGTTTCTTCTGAAGGAGTTCCGAACCAGGTGTTCTAAATACCAAAATGTAATTAATAAAATTAAATCTTAATATCTATTATGTTTTTGATATTGGTATCGAGACGTGGAATCGCAACGGTGGCCTAGCCTATTGGCACAAGTTATTTGAAGGACGACAAAGAACGAAAGTTATAGATATACTTGCACAATAAGCATGCTGAATTGGTCTGGAAGTGGAATACACTAGCCACATAAGTCAGAAGATTGATGGCCAACGGAACAAATGTGCCCTAGAATGGTGACGGCGAATTGTGAGAGGTAATTGGGGGATTGGATGAGGAGGACTTATGTTCAGCAGTGGACTGTTATGGGTTGATAGATTCACTAATTATGTTTTTTAAATTATATGGATAAACACTGTTTATTTTTAATTTTAATATAGATAATGTATATTTGGGACGGGTGTTAGGACAATGTAGGTAGTTGTATATTTTATAAGATTTTATATTTACGTATGGAGTAAAACGCTCACCCGGGCGATTGTTCTTGTTTACTTTGTACAGTTTTCTTCACAATCTTCGCTCCCATCATCCATTTAGAAGACTCCAGGGCGTCTATGTCGATCTTGGTCTAAAAGTAAAGTAAATCAGAACTATACGTTAGTACAAATTACACAATCTATATATAACAATGTAGTTGCTGCGTTCGCTTCAAAAACTCAAAAAGTTCTGCACCGTTTCATCTCAAATTTTGACACGGTATACTCTTCGAGTATGTTTTTTGGAGTTCACTTCTTAAGAACGGATTTTCATATGTGAAAAAAATATGAAGTGTAAAATTTAGTGATCGAATGACTTCGTTACGTTTGTGCGCAACCTGTCGTGCGCACCTTCATACGTGCGCGTATAACTGTATACTCATATGCGGTCGTTCTTAAAGAGTGAACTCCAGTCGTGCGCCGGAGCCGATACAGGGTGACGCTCACCTCGAGCTGGTGCAGCGGCGGCAGGTCGCGGGCGAGCAGGCGCGCGCGCTGCGGGTCGTGCGCGGCGAGCGCCTTGACGAGCCGCGCGCGACTGCGCGTGTCCTGCGGCGCGGCGCGCGACACGGCCTCGTGCGCCTGCGCCGCGCGCTCGGCGCTGCCCCCGCGCGCGTGCACCGCCGCCGCCGCGCGCCACACCGACACCAGCGACGCGAAGCGCTACACGACGAAACACATTTCAATACTATTATTAATAAGGGATTTTTATCGTAGGAGAACAAGCTATGAGCCACGTATTCGCCGTTTATTGAAGTGAAACTTCTTTAGAATCGTTGTGATTTGAAAATCGATGAAACGAAAATGCGTCACGATAAAGAAACGAGCTCGTAAATATATAGGATTAATTCGGCGAGAAAATGAGATAGAATACATGAAACGCCCCCCTTTCAGGTTCAGGGGGCAACCTAAGGAGAGAAGGTTGTAATAAATCCTCACTTACCTCGTCATCCTTATAATGGTCGTAAACGTCAGTGAATAGCTGGGAAGCCTTCTCAAAATCGTTATCGGCACACAGCAGAGTGCACAGTAAACCCACTACGCCTGCGCGGTATTTAAATTCACTTTCCTCCAACAATTTCACTGCAGCTTTACGATCGCCCTGGAATAAAATAAAAGTATATTAAAATGCCCCAATAAAAATTACCATTTTGTTTTTGTTAGTCTGTAGGTAAATCTACTGCCAGTGTTGCCATTAATTAAAATAGTAATATTTATGAAACTTTAGAAATTTAATTACATACAAATGTAAAAAGTATATTAAATCTATTTACCTACTATATTATTTATTTTTTCAGTCTATGTCACTAAAATTTTTATGCAGTTAGAATTACCAGAGCCTAAAATAATGGGCGATAAGGCTTAGGTAAAGTACCTGAGCTAATAACACTTGAACAGCTGCCAAGACTAAGTTGCCTCCTTGTTTCATCAGTAGAGTTACAGCTTGCTGTCTCTTTCCCTCCTTGAGGAGTGATGATGCTTCGACCAAGGCCGCTTTTCGTTCCTCACCAAACTCTCTCACCAGCTTCACACAGCATTGCTTGCAGAAATCAGGCTAAAATAACGTAGTAAAGTATGTAAAGTACTGATTTTGCACTTGGTTTATTTTCACTTTAACCTTAATAATAATCGAACTTACGACACTCAGCGCATTGTAGTGGTTAGGTGACCACTTACCCTAGCGCACTGTGCAGCCTATTTAATTACACTTTAAACTTTTTACAATAATTAGTAAAAAACAATAAGTCTTAGTATATTATTTCCACGACATCCAGTATTATATATTTTCTTATTAAAAATAATTTATCCCTTTAAATATTGTTATTTTACCTGATTAGAATATATGGCGAGTATAGCCTGGTTGTAGGTAATGGATGCTCGTTGTCTCGAGTTAAGTTTGTGTTCCAAGCCATCTTGTGTAGCCGTCTTCATGCGCTTACGAGAATCGAATACATTGCCATCCCTAAAAGGATTCGTATATTCATATTACATATAGACAAATAATAATAATAGTTTTGAACATCTGACACACAACGCCATCTATTTTCAAACTAAGCAGACCTTGTACTATGAAAGCTAGATTGAGTGACTGAATACCTATATACTTTTTTTTCGTAAATACATACAAAACACCCAAACTCCGAAACAAATATTTGCAGATCGTACAAACGTTTGGTCAAACTCAGAAATCGAGCCTGAGACCTCATAAATAAAAATTAATAAATATCATGAATTACTTTGTATACATGTTGTTGAAGGTACAGAAAATAACATTATGGCTTGAGTGAAGTAACAATATGTGTGACATAAATCAGTGATTGTTATTTTACCCGTTATACCCTCAGGACAACTATTAGCGGGTCACACAAAATGTGAAGACGAATTTAGAAATATTATTTAAATAAAACAACTTAGAAATGGTGGTCATTGCACAATGTTATCCATACTGACCTATACCTGCTCTAGAGTGAAAAAAGTATAAGATTCAATTCTTTATGCCAGCATTATTTTTTTCAACATACCTATTAATAACGACTATGTTGTTGCTAGCTATGACGACCAGCGCTTGGTCGCTTGGCTTATCCTTTAGAACATTCTGGTAGATGGTAGCGGCTTCTTTCTCCTTGCCCATTTGTTGGAGGCAGTAGGCTTGCTGCACTCTGTCAAAGATTAGTAATAACTTAATTTTGTGACGGGTTATCATTAATTTCATTTTACATAATCTTCATAATAAATATATATCATTTATAAAACATACACTTGACAGCTGCTTTGTATGTTCTTCCAAATCTTTCTTGAGACAAAGGTGGTATTGCTCTGCATATGTTGTGTGCATGTGTGTACATTAAAATTCTAGTTGTTGTTGAAAAAACTACTTTGTTTACACCAACCACAAACTATACTTTAAATACATTGGTTTTGCACAGTTTGTATTACACAAGCAAGCTTCCACAACCAAAATTATACAAAACCTACATAAAAAACAGAATTATTTGTTATTCGAGTTCTAATCCTGAAAGAAAGACACAACTTTGATACTTTGCATACCTTATAATCGCAGCCTCCTCCTTGGCCTCTTCTTCAGTGCCTCCATCATCAATAACGCTCTCCGAACAAGCATGTTCAGCACGCTTCAACACTTGCAGGGCTTCAGTGTACTTCCCTCGCATGGCGAGGCTACTGCCTGCGTTGTATGCAAGCTCATAAGTGTTTTCGTCGAATTGGGGCAAATCTGACGACTGCAAACAATCATGATTTTGTTAATATCCAGTATTAGTTCACAGAATGAATTAGGAAAATCAAATTCTCATAACTAACATTTTTCTATTTAAAAGTATGTTTGCCATTATTATGTGAAAACTGTATTGGATTGTGTGTAGTTTAACTGTACATTAATTTATTTTTAAATGTTTTTGTTCGTTTCCCTAACAAAAAAAAATAACTATGTTTAGACAGTGCCAACTACACTGATTGAAAGTCATTAAAAAGTTTTTCTTAAAAGAGTCTTTACATATTAGAGTTGTTTTGAAATAAGAAAGGCTTATTTTTATTATTTTGACCATGGTTTGGCTGATTCATTACTTCAGCAGCAATAATGTTTGTTTTTGTTTACAATTATTTGATGGTGATTTCTTAGGAAGAAACAATTGACATAAAGTTTTACTCTTTGTAGGAGTATTTGTTCAAAACCAGTATCAAGAACACTGAGTTCTTATTGTTTGTATCTTCACTTCATGTTTTACTTTCTTTCTTATCTTTTTTTTTAAAAGACAACACTCACATTAGGAATATATATTCCTGTGTCACGGGGGAGTTTACAAACATACATGAAACGGAGACAAAGAACATCCAGACTCAGAACAACAATTTGTGGATCACACAAAGTGTCGTCCCATGTGGGGTTTGAACCCACAAATCTCGGCACAGTAGGAAGCGGCGTGGCGACCACTTAAACCACTATGCCATCCGTGCAGTCTATAAATGTTGTAGTGACAAAAGATTTATCAATAAGGTGATAACCACTCACAGGATTAAGCGCTGCAAGGTTGGCCACAACCGCAGACATATTAGTTTTCCTCTCATCTTCATAGTCATCAGTAGTATTCTTTACAATGTCTCGGTACAAATTATAGCAATCCTGGTATTGCTCCAAACGGTACAGAATTTGAGCCCTAGAATATTATGTATATGAAAAGAGTTGCATTTCTTATCATAAAAGATCTGAAAAATGTGTTAGATACAAATTTCATTGACATAGGTAGATTGAAGAAGCATCAAAATGTGAAATGTGGTAGAAAAATTCAAGAAACCATTACATAAACCTTCATGAGGTTCATGCAATGGCCTTTGTTCTAACCTGATATAAAAGTCTATATTGAGAGTTATATGGGTGAAATATATAAAATAAGGTGAAGCCAGGTTTTTTTTTTAAACTGTATCAGTGCTCATGATTTATTTGAGTGTTCAGCAGTTGTAATGACAGTAGAATACTTTTATTTTATAGCATGGCTTCTAAACTTGTGACTCCTGAGTTGCAGGCGTTCATGGGCAGAGGTAGTTGCTTCCCATCAGGTGACCCGTTTGCTCGTTTGCCCCCTTTTACATAAAAAAAAACTACATTCACAAACTGTGAGACTGTGTTGAAAACAGTGGTAGCAAATAGCTTAGGTTTCAAACTTGTAATCAAATCTTGCAGTTGCATGTTAAGACCGCACCCCAGTTCATACTTCCTGCTAAGATGGTTTACCTTAGTTCCTTTAAAGCTGGTGTTAACTCAGGAGCATTATCAACTGTCTGGAGTGCTTCCTTAGGGCAGTTAAGACGGTATTGAGTGTATGCTTTCTCAAAGTGTAACTCGGAGGCTAAAGCAGCATTCCTAGGGTTGGAAAGTACTGCTAGGGCTTCCTTAAAATTGTGCAATTGGATGAGGCACACAATTTTGCAATGAAATGCCTTCTGCTCATTCGGAGCAATTTGAAGGACTGAAATAATACAAGGCTCTTATTAGTCTTTGTTTTAAAAGTTACAAATTTTAATGTTTACATATATGCACTGTGTGTAATTATCAATACACATTACTTGCATTGTAGTAAAATTCTAATAAGATATACCTAACAATAATGTTTAAATAAACATATGGAATAGGGCCATTTAATAGAATTTTAGAAGTTTTTAAGATACTCAATACAGAACTTGTGGAAAAATAATCTGATAGTTATTTTTTATAGCATTATAAATGGTCTAGTTAGGTTCTAATGGTGTATTTTCTTCGTATTCTCAAATAGTTTGGTATACCCCAAAGTAGTTTATTATTAGTGTATCTAAGTATTCTGATAGGAAGTAATGTAAGAAGTTAATGTTTCCAGTTAAAGGGAACTAGATTGTATTAAAAAAATAAATAAAAGTTGCAAGGAAACGGGTAAAAGATAAAAATATTCTTAGAAAGTGTGGTTACTTTCATCGATCATTTCACATTTATTATAACAAGCTTAGCTTGTGTAAATAATTTGGTGGGCTTTTTACCTTTTCCTGTAGCTTTTAACGCTCTATCATAGTCACCACTTTGGCAGTATTTATTTAATTCAATATAAGCCTGAACAAGGTTATTCTCCTTGTTGGCTGACATTTTTTTGACAACTCACAACCTGTAGTTCGGAAACGTCATTCTCATCACTGATTTTAATTCTACGCAGAATACGATATGTCGCGATTTCAAAGATCCACACAATGGCAATGTAAAATGGGTTAATAGAGAATATGCATGTATTTTTTTTTTTTTAAACGTTTCTACTCGTTATTACATTACCAAAAATAAATATAACACATCCGAAATATAAACCGTTAAGCAAAAAAAAAAATTATTAATATCACTATCATTTTGGGGCAATTTGAACACGTCCATTTTGGCGCGCTTTTTTTGTGACGTCTTCTTCTTCTTCTTCATAAATGGCAAACTGTGCCGATGTCGACAATTCTGCCAGTGTCAAGTGCGATGGAAATACGTGGGTTTTATTACACAAAAAATTGAATTGATGATATTAATTGTAGACTGAATGTGGGGCTTTTTGTTGTGGTTAGTATTTACACTGAAACAAGCAGACAAGTACAAATAGATAAGATATGTATTAAATAAATAAATAGGTAACTAATAAGGAAACAATCACAAAAAAATAAAAATCCAATATTCATAGAAATGAAGGTCAAAGTCTGATGTCATTGGATCGGATGAACAACATCAAGACCTGGAGAAGGTGGGGGGAAGAAAATGTTAGGAGAGATGAGAAGTTGATAGGGATGGGGATTTTTAGTTCGGTAAGGTGAGAATAGAGATCTAGGGATGGGATATTTTTAGGACAACTGAAGAATATGTGATCTAGATTGCCTTCATCTAAGCCACATTCACATAAGGACGAATCCCGTACCCGAATCTTGTTCAGGAACACAGGTGAGCTGCAGTGACCTATGCGGAGCCTACATATGGTGGAGATGACAGGTTTACATACCTTCTTAAATTTGTAGAACCAGGGTTTTAGGGTAATGCTTGGTTGGATTGCGTAGTAGTGACGCCCTTTATGCTTTGAGGAATTATTCCACTCTTCCTGCCAGGATGTTAACAATTCTCTCTGAGGCAGTCTTAAGAGGTCGTAATGCTGGTGTGTAAGATGTTTCAGGTCCGACATTGCAGAAGTAGCAGCACTTTTGGCCAGTGAGTCTGCACACTCATTGCCCACAATGCCACTATGGCTGGGAACCCATACCAGTTGAACTATTTTTGAGTTGGTGGAACAATTCAAAAGGTTTTTTTTTATTTCTAGGATCAGCAGACTGTGAAGTTTACTACGAAAGGGATTTTGTAGCAGGGCTTTAAGGCAACTTAGAGAGTCAGTGAATATGACTGCCTTGTGGATGTTGTGCGAGTCAATGTACAAGCATGCCTCTAAGATAGCAACACACTCGCCTGTAAAAACTGAAGCCTATTTTGGACACTTATACTGTAAGAGAATTCTGGAGTTTTGGAAGTACACAGCGGCTCCAGTGTAGCTATCATTATTAAGTTTGGATGCATCAGTAAAGAACCTCTCAAACCCATCCCAGTGTTCAGCTAAGTGTGTATTAAAGGTGGAAACAGAAGAGGCAGATTTCTTAGGGATTCCAACATCCAGAAGAACATTCGGCTTAAAACAAAGGACACTATAATTAAAGGAAAACAGAGGGAGTTTGTCAAATGACACAGCAGAGTTAAAAAAAGTAGAGTAGGAGCGAAAGGATTGTAGAATCAATGGAATTCCCTTATGAGTCCAGTAATTTGAGGTAGTACAAATGGAGTGTAATTCTAAGATTTTTGGAAGAAGAGGATGGGAAGATTTACAAACAGATTTTACTATAAAACGTGAAGCGAGAAATTGTCTTCTTATTGATAAAGGTGGATCTGAACATTCCACTTGTAAGGCATTTATAGGGGAGGACTTCATGCAACCAGTAACAATGCGAAGGCACCTAGATTGGACTTTGTCCAGCTTTGCCAAAGCGCTTTTATTGCATGGAATCAGTAAAAATAGCCCATAGTCCAATATACTGCGTACTAAGGCATTATATACCAGTTTCATGGTGTATGGGTGTGCTCCCCACCAGACCCCAGCTAGGGCCTTTAAAATTGGGATTACACGTTCACATTTTGCGGTTAAGTGGTTCATGTGGTGAACGCCAGTCAATTTAGAGTCAAGATATACTCCTAGGAACTTAAATTTGTTTAATAAAGGAATTTCCTGCAGCTGTACTTGGACATCAATCTGTGGCAGAGTCTTCTTTCGTGTAAAAATAACAACCGCACTTTTCTGAGCAGAAAGACTAAGGCCATGATCTGATAGCCACTGCCACAGAGAATTAAGGGAAATAGTGAGTGATGTGGCTGCCTCTTGGATGGAATGGTTCGAAACATATAATGCCAGATCGTCGGCATATTGAAGGATGCTACAATCATTGTTTAGGCATGAGCCCATGTCGGCAGTGTATAGATTGTACAACAACGGACTCAGTACAGAGCCCTGTGGTAAGCCCCTCCAGGTCTTTCTTTGGCCAAACTCTTCACCTAAGGTCCTTAGGACTAGAGTTCTGGACACAAGCATTGCGCATATGCAGTGGATCATCTTAACCGGAATTCTCAGCTGATGCAGTTTCTGCCTGAGAATGGGTATTAAGACATTGTCATATGCAGCAGATATGTCGAGAAAAGATGTTAGAACAGATGCATTTTGTGACAGAGAAAGACGGATATCAGTTATTAAAACTGCAACACTGTCCATTGTACTGAGCCCTTTGCGAAAGCCGAACTGATAGTTTGGCAGTAGATTCCTTGACTCTACAATCCATTCGAGACGGTTTTTGATGAGATGTTCTAATAATTTAATAAGGACTGATGAGAGGGCGATTGGTCTAAAGCTGTTTGGATCACCAGCATGTTTTCCTGGTTTTAGAATGGGGATAATAATTTGAACTTTCCATGTATCTGGGATCCAACCGTTAGAATAACAGAAATTCAAAATGTTTAAAAAATAAGTTTTTGTACTAGGCTTGGCCTGAACTATGAAAGAATATGGAATGCCGTCTATGCCAGGAGCCGAGTCTCGCACACTGTTGAGGACCATGTTCAGTTCTTCCAGAGAAAATGGGTCGTCATGGGTATCCACTGACTGAAACGGTAAGTCTGGTAAGGTCGCTTCATCGAGTTGTGGGACATACGGGGGGGCAATTCTGTCCAGGAAAAGCTCAGCTGTATTGGGGGAGATAGAGGAAGAGACAGAGGGCGAACAACCAGATCGGAACCGATTTATGTTCTTCCACACCATTGAGGATGGGGTGGATGAGGACAAGGAGGAACAAAATTTAACCCAACCGGCGCGCTTCTTGCGTCGAAGGAGTCTTTTGGTAGAGGCGAAAACGTTTTGGTAGGTGAGTAAATTATGGGTGGTCATATCGGCATTGTATCTCCTTTCGGACTCCTTCCTATACTTGACTGCCCTAGTACATTCACTGTCCCACCAAGGAGGTGACGGAATTTTGCCTTTGCTCGAGTTTTTAATTTTGAAGGAACTGTCTGCACTTGATCTGATTGCCTCTACGAACGCGTCACAACAGTCCATCACCAGGTAACGATCATCCTGGGTTAAGGGTCTAAGAGTTTTCGAGGGTTTGGGAGAAATTTTGCCAGTTAGCTTCTGAAAGGATATATTTTAAAAGGGGGGGGGGGGGAGATTTTACCAAGTGGGTTGAAGTTGGGAGGGTTACTAAAATTGGATAATGATCGCTACCATGCGACAGATCGGTGCACTGCCAGCTAGCAGCTGCGGCGATGTCGAGTGAGCAAATAGTCAAATCCACACAGCTACCATTTTGACCAGGAAGAACTCTACGAGTGGAGCAGCCACTGTTAAGTACGCAGAGGCTCAGATCATCGAGGATCTCCACTAAACCTGAACCGAAAGAGTCGCAGTGTTCAGATCCCCATCTATAGTGATGGCAGTTAAAGTCTCCCATAACCAATATTGGGCCCTGTAGATCCTGTAAAATCGTTCTCAATGTAGGCAGGAAACTTTGATGGGGGTGAGCTATATAAATAGAGAGCACGGATATGTTACAGATCTTAGCTGCAACCACGCTGATATCCTCAAGGAATGGGGGCAAGGATAGGGGGACTAAGGGGATTTTAGTATTAATAAGGAGGGCAGCACCTCCATAGCCATCAGGCCTATCACATCTAAGAATATTGAAATGGGGGACATGGAAGTTGAGACTTGGTAAAAGCCAGGTCTCAGCGAGAGAAATAGCCAGAGGCTTGAATTTGTTCAACAGGAATATGAGGTCGTGTTTTTTATGGAATACACTCCTCACATTCCATTGTAGGAATACTTTGTGGGACGCCATTTTTGAAATTTGTTAAAATATTGATAAGTGGGACAGCAACGTTGGACGGTATAATAGACTGGGATAGAGATGAATTGGGGGATAATAGGGAGGTTAAGAGTTGTAACAGAAGATCAATAGTTGAGGATTCAAGGGATGAGTTATTCATAGCACAACCATTAGGTTGTGAAGGTTGGGGAGATTGAGTAATGGATTGGTGTGCGACTTTATCGTAGGAATGTGAGAGTGGGGATCGAGGTTTAGGTTGGCGAACCACAGTTTTTTTGTAGGACTGTGTGTGCTGGAGGGATTGGGTAGGCTGAGTGGATTGAGAAGGTTGAGGGAGTTGGTTGATTTGTGGAGCTTTTAGGATGTCAGCGTATCGGCGTGTTGGAGAGGGAACAACCTTGCTTGCTTCCATGTAGGATATGTTCCTTTCCGCCATCATGGTCTTAATAGCTCTCTGTCTACCATACTCCGGGCAAGCCTTGCTATAAGCAAAGTGGTCACCGGAGCACAGCACACAAAAGGCCTCTCTTTCTGATACCTCACAACCATTACCAGGATGTTCGTGGCCACACTTGCTGCATCTTGGTTTGGACCTGCAGATGGACTCCACATGGCCAAACCTGCAGCATTTCCTACACTGTACGGTTGGGTAAATATATTGTTGAACAGGAAGCGAGTTGTAACAACAGTATACTCTTTTAGGCAGAACCTGGCCAT